ATGCAAAGCATGCGCTCTACCACTGAGCTACATCCCCAGTTGAAAAGGTAATATTTTTCTTTTTATTCCGCCTTTTTCTGTGGTAGACAGAACATCAAAATGTTTATGTCAATTCTGATTGTGCAGAAAAGGCAAACATATTTTAGTGAATGATTCAAGACAAACGGTGACACTGCAACTAAACCCAGGACCATACACCGCTTTCTCAAGCCTGTTTATCGTCTGTGAACAGAATCTCAAAAGGCTCTTGGAGATGCTGGGGATTGAACCCAGGACCTCATACATGCGAAGCATGCGCTTTACCACTGAGCTACATCCCCAGTTGAAAGTTGAATATTTTTCTTTTTTTTTCGGCTTTTTACTGTGGTGGACGGAACGTCAAAATGTTAATGTCAATTCTGATTGTGCAGAAAAGGCAAACATATTTTAGTGAATGATTCAAGACAATAGAAGATGCTGCAACTGAACCTAGGACCATACACCGCTTTCTTAACCCTGTTCATCGTCTATGGACAGAACCTCAAAAGGCTCTTGGAGATGCTTGGGATTTAACCCAGGACCTCATACATGCAAAGCATGCGCTCTACCACTGAGCTACATCCCCAGTTGAAAGGGGAATATTTTTCTTTTTTTTTCACCTTTTTACTGTGGTGGACAGAATGTCAAAATGTTTGTCAATTCTGATTGTGCAGAAAAGGCAAACATATTTTAGTGAATGATTCAAGACAAACGGTGACACTGCAACTAAACCCAGGACCATACACCGCTTTCTCAACCCTGTTTATCGTCTGTGAACAAAACCTCAAAAGGTTCTTGGAGATGCTGGGGATTAACCCCGGGCCTCATACATGCGAAGCATGCCCTCTACCACTGAGCTACATCCCCAGTTGAGAGTTGAATAATTTTCTTTTTATTCCGCTATTTTACTGTGGTGGACAAAATGTCAAAATGTTTATGTCAATTCTGATTGTGCAGAAAAGGCAAACATATTTTAGTGAATGATTCAAGACAATTGAAGATGCTGCAACTCAACCTAGGACCATACACCGCTTTCTTAACCCTGTTCATCGTCTATGGACAGAACCTCAAAAGGCTCTTGGAGATGCTGGGGATTGAACCCAGGACCTCATACATGCAAAGCATGCGCTCTACCACTGAGCTACATCCCCAGATGAAAGGGGAATATTTTTCTTTTTATTCCGCCTTTTTACTGTGGTAGACAGAACATCAAAATGTTTATGTGAATTCTGATTGTGCAGAAAAGGCAAATATATTTTAGTGATCGATTCAAGACTATTGAAGACGCTGCAACTGAACCTAGGACCATAAACTGCTTTCTTAACCCTGTTTATCGTCTGTGGACAGAACCTCGAAAGGCTCTTGGAGATGCTGGGGATTGAACCCAGGACCTCATACATGCAAAGCATGCGCTCTACCACTGAGCTACATCCCCCTGTGAAAACAAACATTTTTTTTTTCTTTTTCCCCTTCTTAGGGTTGTGGACGGAACCTCAAAACAATTAAGTCAATTCTGATTGTGCGGAAAAGGCAAACATATTTTAGTGAATGATTCAAGACAGTTGTAGACGCTGCAACTAAACCTAAGACAATCAAAATCTTTCTTTACCCTGTTTGTCTGTGGACAAAACCTCAAAAGGTTCTTGGAGATGCTGGGGATTGAACCCCGGACCTCATACATGCAAACGCATGTGCTCTACCACTGAGATACATCCCCAGTTGAAAGGGGAATATTTTTCTTTTTTTTTCGCCTTTTTACTGTGGTGGATAGAATGTCAAAATGTTTATGTCAATTCTGATTGTGCAGAAAAGGCAAACATATTTTAGTGAATGATTCAAGACAAACAGTGACACTGCAACTAAACCCAGGACCATACACCGCTTTCTCAACCCTGTTTATCGTCTGTGAACAAAACCTCAAAAGGTTCTTGGAGATGCTGGGGATTGAACCCAGGGCCTCATACATGCGAAGCATGCGCTCTACCACTGAGCTACATCCCCTGTTTAAAGGGGAATATTGTTCTTTTTTTCGCCTTTTTACTGTGGTGGACAGAATGTCAAAAGGTTTGTCAATTCTGATTGTGCAGAAAAGGCAAACATATTTTAGTGAATGAATCAAGACAATTGAAGACGCTGCAACTGAACCTAGGACCATAAACTGCTTTCTTAACCCAGTTTATCGTCTGTGGACAGAACCTTGAAAGGCTCTTGGAGATGCTGGGGATTGAACACAGGACCTCATACATGCAAAGCATGCGCTCTACCACTGAGCTACATCCCCAGTTGAAATTTGAATAATTTTCTTTTTATTCCGCCTTTTTACTGTGGTGGACGGAACGTCAAAATGTTTATGTCAATTCTGATTGTGCAGAAAAGGCAAACATATTTTAGTGAATGATTCAAGACAAACGGTGACGATTGGGGATTGAACCCAGGACCTCATACATGCAAAGCATGCGCTCTACCACTGAGCTACATCCCC